TTTCAGATTCTCAGGGCCTGCTAATATGCATGCGTATTCTGCCAAACACCCAGGCTTCACACTAACGGCCTCAACTCTACTCAACTCCACTCAACTCCAGTTTTTCTCTGGGCTCACTTCATCACTTATATCCATTTCTCTTCTAAAATAATAATATGAAATTCCTATCCAACTGCAACTTCCCATTCCGTTTTTATCATTTCCTTTTGAAAAATGCTGTCCAGCTCAGTTTATTATCTCAATACTCTAGGATCATATTCCCCGCAACACTGTGCTTTTCAGAGTATCTTAGTATATTAGAAAGACATATGTTGTCCCATAACATGCCTACATCCTCTTCTTTCCTTGATAGTCTTTTGGCTCTGCAATTTCTCCTTCCTACACATCTCCTCCAGACTGACCTCCTTGTCCTCAAACCCATACTTTTCACCTGCTCTTGCTCTGTGCTATGCATCTACTTCCTTATTTCTTTTTGCCTCAAAGCTTTATAATTTGCTTATAAACATGGCCATATTTCTCCATTGTAAATTATCACACTCTCTTCCCTTTCCCCGCAAACTAGTTTACAGTTTAGTTTATATCTGTTGCTTCAACTTCTTCCCAAGCTTCTGTGTTGCTAATTCTTTATCTGAGCTGTTGCATATATATCTCCAGCACCTAGAATAATGCTTGGTACACAGATAGCTTGGTAAAGATCGACTGAACAAATCTTGACAATGTGATTTCCATCACTAATATTCTATTGAGACCACTGCCTGATCTTGACACCTCCATATTCCATTTTCTCATGCCTGTATTCAACTGTCATCCTCTTAGCTGACATATTTCCTTTAACGGCTTATCACATTCCCCTTGTCTCCTCCTCCCTTCTGCTGCTTGCTGAATGATATCCAAGTTCTATGCCTGGCCCTTTCCTCATTTGCCATTTTTCCCTATTCATTCCTTTGGTGTTTAATCCAATTATACTTCTCTAACTATGGCCTCACTGCAGATGACTCGAAACCTCTGTCTTCAACCCAGCCTCTTGGTGAGTTTCAGCCCCACATTCCCAACTACCTTCTGATTACTCCTACCCAGACATTTAGCTAGACTTATAACTGAAACTGTCTGCCTTCACTGGTACTGGCACCTTCCTCTTCCTATGTGTCAAGAAACCAAATATATGATATCACTCTGCTTCTTGTCTCTGCCACCCTAGTCTCACCATTCTACTTTCCCTTTCTCATTCTGTCTGGTTAGGACTGTGGCATACTGTTGTCAGATTAGTCTTCCTAAAGCCTCTCCCTCCCTCCCTGTCTGTCTGTCTGTATCCACCTGCCATCCCTGCAAAACCCCGAAGACCAAATGAAGTAAAAAAAAAAACAAACCTGGTCAATGCTACTGTCACAACGTATCCTTGCAAACTGAAGCCCAGTCCCCAAATGCAGCAGTATTAAGAGGCAAGGCCTACTGGAAAGTGACTAAGTCATGATGGCTCTGCCCCGTGTCTATCCCTTAAGCCATGTGAAAACACAGCAACAAGAACTCACCTATGGACCACACAGTGAACCTTCACTAAAGGCTGAAGCTACTGCTGTCTTGAGCTTGGACCTCCCAGCCTTCAGAACTGTGAGAGATAAATTTCTATTATCTATAAATTACCCTATCGAAGTCACTTTGCTATAGTTGCCTGAACAGACTAGGAGGCATTGAAGACCTGACACATTTGTTCCTAAAGAACTTTTGTAGTATTACTTTCTATTGACACTTTTTGTATAACCTATGCTACACTCAAACTATATTCTGTTTCTCAAAGTTAACTTACTATTAGTTTTTTAAACAAAGAAATCATGATATGATTACCAGTAACTAAAGAAAGCAGGAGATAATACAGATGGCAAAAAATCAATTTAACTGATCCCTGAGAATCACGTAACTCACTAAGCAAAGCACAGAAATAAGATGTTATTCATTCAACAGATGCTTCCTTACACTCTGTCATGAGCCAGGCATGGTTCTATGAACCTGAAGTAGAATATGGTGGGTAGGATATGTGAGATTGCTTCACTCAGGCCCTTTATGTTCCAGTGGGATGAAATAAGCAGATAACAAAGAATTTCAAAATCTGTTAAGTACTAAGAGAGAAATAGTATAATAAAGCACAGCACTGCTGTGAAAGAGTAAAGTATCACAGAAACAGCACGTCAGGGAGAACCTTTCCTGGGAGGTGAGACCTGAGCTAGGACCTACGGATGAAGAGGAGCTAGACTAAAGAAGGGCCAGTAATGCAGATTCTGTGCCAACAAACAGCCAGGGGAAGAATACAGGATGACACATTCAAGGCACAGCACAACAGAAAGAAGAGCTGGTACATGGTTGTAAAAAGGAGGAGGCACTAGATGAGACTGGGGAAGGTAAAGTAGAGAGTACAGGCAAGGTCTAGTCAAGGTTTGTGGGAGGAAACTTACAAGGAACTCAAAGCAGGACAGATGGGCTGAAGAGAAGCCCCGCAATAGGGAGTGATGGTAATGGGTTCTAGAACAGTACCTATTCCAAATGAAAATAATTACTACTTCTGCTGAGTGCACAGGTGTCCAAAAAAATAGTAAATGTGTATTTTCTTAATTCATGCTACACTTAAATTGCTCTACGACCAGCAGAAACATTCAAGTATAGATGCAGCCCTGGACTTTGCATGTTGGCTGCAAGTTTGTTCAAGTAGCTTTTTCATTCAACGATACCCTCATTTACTGAATGCCTATTATGTGGAAGGCACCACAGATAGGACTCTGCTTTCAATTAGCTTAAGATAGACTTTTAAGGAATAACGACAGGTTTGATGAGCATCACCAAAACTAAAATGATATGGGTCGATGGGGTCAGCATAACCCAATAGGCGTCCCTCTGCAACAGTGATGTACCTGTTCAGACAGAAGCACAGAAGTATAGGGGACACCAACAGAGGAGGAGAAGAATGAGGAATGTCAGGGTTGGAGGATGGAGTGTTAAGAGCTAATTCTAGAGAGGATGATAGCTAGTTAGTGGAGGTCTCTTTAAGGTGCAGGAGACTCTCGACTTTATCCTTAGTTCAGTAAGAAGCTACTTATCTGACTAATGATTTTACAAAGACTGTCTATCAAGTGAAGAACAGTTTAGAAAGGAAAGGTATAAACAATACTGCAAGTGAAAGGATGGTAGCTTCAACTAGGATACTGGCTCATACACAAAAAAGGATGCAGATGCTAAAATATCTAGAGAGGAGGTAAAAATATCCACTGGGATTCATGGTCAGGGGAGCAAGCAAGACAGGACAATCTGGCTGGCTTGGTTTGTGGCTGCAGTAGCTGATGGATGATGAGGCTGACAGGAACCTATCTGGGAGGGGAGTATCCTGAGGATACTGAATATGTTGGTGTGCTTATGAGATGGGTGTGTGAAATAATGAGTTGGGTCTTTACAGTTCTCTTTCTTAGGCTCCAGACCTTAATAGAGATAGTAATTAAAGTTGCAGGAATGGTTGAAATTGCCTGAGAACTGCTCAGTGAGATACGAGGGACCGGGTAGAGCTGGAAAAGTACCCATAAAAAGCTAGTCTTAGTAAAACTCCTTTCTTGCAAATTATAACACCTAGTATACAGTTCAACTTTAAAACCTAAAGCATTTATGTATGATTATTTGTCTGTCTTCTTTAACTGGTTTCCAACCCCCTAGAAGACATGAAAGGTGTCTTCCTTGTTCAGTTCCTAAATATTACAACTTTATTAAAGCTCAGTGCTACCCAGATAGTAGCCTTTCAAAATGTTTGCTAGATGCTTGAACAATCATGCTTATTTACTCAAAAGAGATTACACTGTCAAAGATATATTTAAATCCTGTGACTCAGCCACAACAATAACAAATAATGTATTAAATGGACAAAAAAAGGACAAACTACTTGAACAGACATTTTTCTATAGATATACAAATGGCCAGTAAAGACGTAAAAAGATGCTCAGTACACTAATCATCAGGGAAATGCAAATCAGAACTGTAATAAGATATCACCTCACACTCAATAAGATGGCTACTATCAACAAGTGTTGGCAAGGACACAAACTGGAATCCTTGTACAGTGTTGGCAGATGTACAATAATGGGCCACGGTGGAAAACAGTATTACAGGTCATCAAACAAACTGAAGATGGAATTATCATATGATCCAGAATTCTATACACATCCAAAGGAATTAAAAGAAGGCTCTCAAAGAGGTATTTATTCAGCCATGTTCAGAACAGCATTATTCACAATAACCAAAAGCTAGAAGCAACTCAAATGTCTATAAATGCATGGAAGGATAAACAAATTTTTCTGTACTCACACAAAGGGAGTATTATTCAGCCTTTAAAAAAGAACGAATTCTGGCACATGCTACAACATTAATAAATCATGAGGACACTATACTATGTGAAATAGGCCAGTCTATATACTGATATGAGATGGTTAAGTCAAACTCACAGAGAGTGTAAAATGGTTGCTAGGGAGGGAAAACCTAAAATATGTGAGTCTGAAGTCTAAGACAAGTCTAGGAGATCTAAAGATTTACCCATTTCCCTGCGTTATTTCCCATAATATGCAAGAGGTATACATGTTATTAATCGTGTTTTTCTCTTTTAATCTGTCTTTTGTTACAAAGAGTCTCAGCTAACAGCTCGTGACAATTATTTTTTTTCCCTTACAAGTAAATAAAGATTTAGGGTTTACTTTTAAAAGTGATTTTTTCTGCAGACTGCTGATCAACACCAGTTCAGTTGGCTTATTTATTATCCACTTATATTACTGCAAAATGAAATAAAGGATTCTCGTTAAAAGGCAAAATCTGCCCTCTTCTCTATTTCTCTTGGCTTATACGCCACAATTTAAGTTAAAAAAAAAAAAGACAAATAAAATTTGTCAAAGGTAATTACAATGAGCATAATCAACTGAGTATTTATACCAGAACCAGGTGCACAGCAGCAACATAGTGGAGTTTAAGAATGTACTTACCTGCACAAGTGTGTCCAGTGTGAAGATGTGCTCCCCTCTAACATTATAGAACTTCACCATAGCACTCTTCAGAAGGGGTCCATTGGGGAGCTCACTGAGCTGGGTCTGCCGCTCCATTCCAGCAACCGCCAGTAAGTCTCCCTGTGTGCACCACTGTGCCACCACCTCTGAAACCACAAACAAGAACAATAAACATGGGAACATGCCATTACATGTCTTCAGAAATTCCAATTGTGGAGACAAGCAAATACAATAGTGGCTCTCCCCTTCTCTCTCAGGAAGATAACAATGATCCATATCTTTGAAGACATCAATGGGGATTGCAGTTCTTGGAAACATAACTAAATGAGGTGGAAAACTAGGCATAAAAAAGTTGGTTTGTTAAAGCTAGGCACTGAGGTGCATACCTGTAATCCCAGCTACTTGGGTGGCTAAGACAGAAGGACTACATGTTTGAGGCCAGCCTGGGTAACACAGTGAGATGGCACTGAAGAAAAAGAGGAAGAAGGGAGGGAAAGAAGAGGGGCTAGGGGGAAGTTGGCATATTAAATACCATTCTCCAATACCAGTGTTTCTATACTGAGATTAAAGAACTTTTTTTAAAAAGCAAGTTAAATAATAAAACCTATGACTGTACATCACGTTGTATTAGTGCTTTCCCACTGCTGTGTCCTCCACTTTCACAGAGAACTGAGAGTTTTTAAATGCTCAAAATAAAAAGTTAATAAGCCAAGTTAAAAAGTTAAAGTAAAAAGTAAAGCCTGAATTGGTTCATTTGATATCTGGGTGCCACTAGGCAGATAAAATTCAGACACAGGGCATACATAAATATGAAGGCCATGAGTCTGACTTGATACTTATGATGTTATAGTACATCATCACTGGAAATATCATTGGAACAGAGATAAATATTCCTGCTAGGTGTAGGTGATATTTGTCAAAGAAATGTTCACAGTGGAGATGCAATGCTCACCTACAAGCAACTAACTGCCTATTTGCTACTAACAGTTTGTCTTAGCCCAAAGTAATTACTCAGTTTTTGCTGGTTAAAAAAAAGTAATAGTATTAATAAGATTCATGGCAATTGTTTTTTCTTTCCTAAGACCCTAAAGCCACAATTTGTCTTATGCAGAGATTTCTAACATCCAGATCCAAGCAACCCACTTCGCAGAGACTGGTCTGAATTTAAAGAAAGTGCTCTGCTATGACCAGCACACATTTCAGAGCTAGGGATAGAATTCATCAGCTCTATGCTCTATCCAATCAAAAATGACCATAATGCTCCCCTACTTCATGTATGGAAATGATTCCAGTGCTAATACCAGAGCAGTCTGAAGTCACTGATATTCTTCTACTTGCTCTCAGAACTGGAGAGGGTTTTCCTGAGGCAGGATGGTCCCCAGTCCAGGGCTTTCTCATAAACTCAGCCATGGTAGAAGAGGAGACAGAGGGCTGAATTGAAGCAGTTACACACAAATGTAGAACAAGAAACCTCTATCCATCTGAAATTGTAAAAGCATGATAAAAAGGGCTTTTTTATAGGAATGAAGTTAAATAAAACTCAGAAAATTAAAAAAAATGACAAAGAATCAAATCAATGTTCTGGTATCTTATTCAAGATTTTTAAGATGAAGGAAGGACAAGCTGGAAGATTTATGTATATACTAACACATGCTCTGGCATATTCAATGCCAGATCTAGTCTAGAGGAAACCCTGGTCACGATCACAAAACTGAAATGATTTTGTCTGGATGGCAGTGTTGGGCACACAAGGAACCAAAAGAAGAGGCAATGAATAATAACAGTCAAAGTGACAGTAAAGATGACAGTCTATGAGTTCCTAGATAGGAATGTTGGTGTGATATGGTAGAGACCATGACATAGTGTATCTCTAGTGCTCCCATTCCCAAGCACTAAATTCTCAGTGCTCCTCATATGACTCGCAAGTGAGTAACTTTAACAATTATAACATTAACTTTTTCTCAGTACTGAAGACTGAAACTCAAGGCCTTTGTGTGTATATCAGTCCTTCACACTGAGCTACAACCCTATACTGCTCTTTCTTTTTGAGACAGAGTCTTGCTAAGATCCTTGCTTCAGCCTTCTGGAGGGCTGGGGTTATAGGCATGTGCCACCACACCCAACTCCTTTATTTTGAGACAGGGTCTCACTAGGTTGTTAAGTTGCCCAGTCTGTGCTCAAACTTGCAATCCTCATGCTTCAGCATCACAGTGTACTGTGATTACATTGTGTGCCATCATGCCTGCCTTATATATATATTTTTTTAAAAGATTGTTTGAATTATGTTAAAAACTAGTTTTGAAAAGTAGAAAGTAGGCTTCTGTCCTGTACCACTGGCCTGGACACATGCCCAACATGCACAGGTACTATATGGCACAGGTGAGAATGAGTCCAAACATGTGCTAGCCGAAGTCTTATTAAGACAGCTGTCATCCACAAAGGCAAGTCATTCTTTTAGAAAGAATAAATTACACATGAATACTGTGATTTCTGTTCTAGTAACTACAGAATCAGCACATTAAGGGAACAGCAACAGATGTGGGCTCTCTATCACTCAGTATTGAACATTCTTGGTCAACAAGGTAGGCACCGCAGTTGCCAGGGAATGGGTTGTGGCCTAAGGCCCCAACCAGAGGAACTCTGGAGCAGGACTAACAAAGAATAATTTAGAGTTGTCCAGGGTCAACCAAGAGTACTGAGTATTCAACAGGGACTGAATTCCTATGGTTGGGGTTTAAAATAGTCATAAATTAGTGGGAAAAATCAAAGTAAAAGCAAATAGTCATTCAGTTTTCAATATCACTAGGATGAAAAAGAGGATAAATCAGGCTAGATGTAATTAGAAACTTTTTGTAAACTATGTTTGTCTTAGTTTTTAAAAAAATCTCTAATATCTCTAGCCATGGTTTCTTAAATAACTTTGCTTAAATCCCTGAAGATGTTATTCAGGGATACAACCTAGAAGGAATAAACAAATGCTTTATTTAGTAGTCTTCCTATCGCTTTCCTGATGCTCCTGGCATGATATATCTCTGTTCTGGTTTATGTCTAAAATACGCTCCCCCCGCCATCTCATGTGTTCAGAGGTGGGACTTTTGGAAAGTAACTGGACCACTGAGCTCTATACACATCAGTGGTGAGTTCCTAGCTGAATGTGCTGTTAGGAGGTGAAGGCCAGTTGGAGGAGGTGGGCCACTTGAGGGTATACCCTTGGTGGGTACATTTCTTCTTCTGACTCTTTCATTCAAACCTGCTTCCTGGCTGCCATGGGTTGCAGTTTTCCTCTACCTGGGCTTTCTGCCATGCTATTTCTCCCTTGGAACCACGTAACCATTGCAGAACTCTCTAGGACTGAGCCAAATTACCTCTATTTCTTTAAGATGCAAGTATCAAGTATTTTTTTCCCCAGTGATGGGAAAGCTAAACAATACCATCTCTAATGCTCCCCTGCCTCTTTGGGATCTGGGAGTTCTAAAGCATCCTAGGTGGTCCATGTGGTCCATCCTCTGGAAGTACCTATTTGCTCTGGGTGTAGTTATTTTTTATTTTACTATATAATTACCTTTTTTTTTTTTTTTTGAGATAGGGTCTCTTTGTGTAGCTCAAGGTGGCTCTGAATTATGTAGCCCAGGCTGGCCTTGAACTTGTGGTGAGCCTCTTACCTCAGCCTCCCAAGTACTGGGATTATAGGTGTGTACCACCTCTCCTGGCTTGAGTGTGGGTATTTTGACATTCAAAACATTTTACAAAGAAAATCTGCATTATGCAGTCAGAAAGAGAAGAGCTGGGTTTTGTACTGTTAACAAGAAGCTCCTTTCTTGTGGTGTTAGTGTTAGGTTAAAAAACAGGCAGCCATATTTTCATGGGAAAAGAGTTGTGCTCTTATCAAACACTATACTGACTACACCTGTGAGTTAGGAATCTAAGGTTAACTTAGTCCTCTATCCCTTAGGTTTCCATTGTAACAAGTCACCTTTTTATTAGTCATTAAGTACGCATGTTTGCATGTATGTACGTATGCCGATACACATGTACATGTGGAGCAAGACAGAGAGGAAGGAGAAACAATTAGCAAAGTGTGTGATGATAAGACACTTTAAGAAAGCTTTTATGAATCAGGTCAGGACTGAAAAACAGGGCATATATTTGATGAGGACAAATCTACATCAGGCCCAGCAGCAGGAATCACAAAATCACTGGCTGAAATCACCTTACCTCAAAAATTCTCTCTTGAAAACCAGGTGTGGTAGTACATGCTTGTAATCCCAGGATTTGGAAAGCTGAGGCAGGCAGATTGCAAATTTAAGGACATCCTGGATTATACAGAGAGACTCTGCCTCAAAAACCAAACCAAGGGCTTGAAATATAGCTCAGTGGCACTGCGCCTGCCTGGCAACTACGCAGACACAAGTTCAAGTTCCATTCCAGATATCAAAACAAAAACAAAAACAAAAACAAACAAAAAAACCAAACCAAACCAACACACCCTTCTTGATTTTTTCATCATAGGTATGATGAATAAAAGGAGAAATTGCAAAACAAAGAAACAAAGCCTGGAGGTTTGGGTGCTTTCATTTCAAGACTCATGTAGGACAAAATGAGAAGGAAGTGGCTCTATCACTGGGAGATGTGCTGACTTGGTCACAGGATCAGACCTTATAAAGGAATTATTTTTCCCCAAGAAACAATATAGAAGTCACAACAAAGGGTAAAATCCCCAATGCCATAAACTAACTACTGCTTTTATGATGAGCAGACAGCCCCAAGGCTAAGTTATTCAGCAGCCTTCTTCCTTAGGCACAACTTTCTCATCAACAGCTGCAAAGCAAAATCAGAGCTGTCCTCCACAGCTGTCCATGCCCAATAGTATCTGCAGTGAAAACAAAGGGGACAGGTGGTACAGAAGGTGGCTGGTTATGGGGAGAAGGAGTGAGCTACAATTCTAAGTTATATATGTGACATAAATTGCAGTGCTGGTGAGAAAAGGCATCATAGGTCACTCTCTTCCCCCAGAAAAGTTCTTGGAGACAGTAGCACTGAAAGACCAAGATAATCAGAGATCCTTTTAGTCTTCCTCATGAGACAACTGATCAGCCCATTTAGAATAGGATAGATGACTAGGGCCATCTTTGATAGCATTTCTGCTTCTCTCTTCCCAGCATTTACTAATATAGCCTGTAAGATAGTGGATACAAAAATGAATTTCAAAATAAAAGTTATTGTTCTTCATACCGCATACAAGACTGAGTCCTTTAAATACTGTGATTCCCAGAACAAAAGAGAAAGTGCCTGCATAAAGTTCCTCCTGAATGGGTCCAGTTCACCTAATCTAATTTTCTGAAATTAGGAAGACAGAGTACAAAATTATCTCCACTCCAGAAAAGACTAATTAAAAATATTTTAGACTACATTTAGATTTGTAGTTAGGCAATGACTAGAATGCTCAATTTGGCCGAATTTTAAGAGTACAATTGCAATTTAAAAAACTTTTGAAGAGCTACTTGGGTTACCACTCCAGTGTGTTACTGTTCCTATACTACATATTTGATAGGAATGTGCTGGAAATACTGCTCCAGTACAACTCGATTTGACAGAGTACAAAATTATATACTTCAGGCAGAATAAAAGTTAGAGAAGTGTAAGCTGAGTATGGTGGTGCCTACTTGTAATCCTAGGACTCTGGGAGGATAAGGCAGGAGGATCAAGTGTTCCAGACCAATCTGAGCTACACAGTAAGAACCTGTCTCACAAACAAAACAAAACAAACAAACAAAAAACACCTTGTAAAGAATAAAAAAGAACTGAGTGATAATTGGTAGAAAATAAAATTTAGTAATCTAAGCCTAGCGGCAGGTTCTAAGAAATAAACTTACTGGTTACAAACAAGTCCACTTAGACTTGCATTTTATTTGTTTGTTTTTGTGGTGCTGGGGATAGAAGCCAGGGCCTTGTGCATGCAAGGCAAGAACTCTACCACTGAGCCACATCCTCAGCCCAAGAAATAAACTTATTAAAACTTGATTTTTTGAGAAAAATAGAGCTTCGATTATTAAATATGTGGGGGGATTCACGGTGACCATAATTTATAGAAAAGCACAGGAATTTCATCATCAGTTCCAAAACACTTACTTAGCTCCTAATGCTGCCTGTCTGTGGTGTAAAGGACTTCTATACAGTTTCTGTCTCACAGGAGTTTATAGGCTAAGTAATTCCTTACAAGTTCAGTTCTGGAAGTGCAGAATGGGATACCCAAGGGAGAATATAATTCACTCCTAAAAATACTCTATAGTTTTAAAATAGAATAAGCGCTTGACAGTTGCGCACACTAGTACAATAAAGTCCTGTCAACCAAATTACAGACATGGACCTGGTTCTTTACGCCACTGTGATTCCTGAAGAATTTGGATAAGCAGCAGCAGCAGCAAAAACACATGACAGTGACTCTCCAGACTGATGGCCAATGTTGTAACTAGTTGCAAGAAGGTCCTGGCTTACCTCCCACCTCCCCATTCATAACATAGTAGGATCCTTTTAACACTAAAGACCAACAGCAGCCCAGGAATTAAATTTTAAAATCTTTGTAAACTGCATCACACAACCCTGAAGAGACAGACTGTTTATTCCAAATAACTCATCAGAGTCACGTCAGTAGTATTCTTGAATTGCAAAACTGAAAACACTCCCATACTTGTGCCCCCTGATTTTCTCTTGCAATAACATTTCACAACATCCATCTGGAAGATGTAGTACTTGACTGCTGGCCTTTGCAACCATGCTCTTCTCTGGCAATTGTGGAATCTCTACAGGTCTTTCAAAGTAACTTTGTTGCACGATGACTGGTTCCTTAATAAGCCTGTCAGATTCTTACAATTACAGAGGCTTCTATGTAAATGATGATTTGTCTTACCATCTGCTGCTTCAGAATAGCAGGTGCTGCCATCCATGTACTATGCAGACACAGTGTAGGCCAGATGCAAACACACCATGCACCTGAGTGGGTCTTTCTTGTCAGAGGGAGGAAAACAGCAAGTGAAGATGGAGACTGAGAGTAGGAATGGCTGTTCAAGATAAGACTAGCTATAGACTTTTTAGATAAGGAGGAGAGCTAAAGGGAATAATCTTCATTGACAGACTCTATTAAGCCTAAAGAGGTCACTGCAGAGGACAAGAATCAATAAGTATTGGATGTTTGACACCAGCCCAGAAGGCAAACTTGTACAGGGCTGATCTGTGGAGCTGGAGGATAGCAGCATCTTGTACCTTTCAGCCCTGAGCGGATGACAGTGGGAGACAGGTCATCATAGTTGTTCATTAAGCTGATATCTCCTGAGGTGAAGCTGACAGTGAGCAGAGGCTTGATGTTCTGTACTGGGATGGGATACGCTGCAGGACCATCTGTGGAAACACAAGGAGAGAGTAAAGAGCTGGCAACCAGCACAAAATCCAATCCAGGTGCCCAATGCTACACTTTAGCATTACACCTTAAAAACTGCCTGAGAATATAGATCCCATTCTGGATTGGGTTGTAACCAAATTAAGCACTCTTCATCACTTGGGAGTCACACAGGCCACCAGTGGACCACTAACACAAATCTCTAGCATAAGGAGCAGGACATGCAATATGTATCTACAAAGGCAGTTGTGTGTGGGGTGGTGAGAATAGTATGAAGAGTTTTAATAACTTATATGTTAACATACTGAGAGTTTCTAATATATAAACACCAATTATTCTGATGTCATACAACACCTAAGGATGGCAGGAGGGATAGAATGTCTTCTTAATTCTGGTCCAACACACAGAAAAAAGTTGCTTTCAATACTAAACACTTTCATTGAATATTATAGGCAATAAGCAGCACTGCAGTCACCATTAGTTCCTTCTTACCTAAGTTTTTACCATAACAGACATCAGATCTGGGCAGAAGGCTGAAGCTGGATGCAGACCATAAAGCACTCTGCTACCTCCATAATGCATGGGCAATGTCAAAAGACAATCTCTCTTTCAAAGGAGTACTCATGCACAATGGGTTGTGCACAGGCTCTTCCATGTGTTGAGAAAGTGAAAGTCTCTCCACACACCTGGTAAGTCAAGGCTCTTTTAGAAGGCTTCTGTAGGTGTTGCAGCCATGCTCAGCTCACCACAAGCAACCATCCAGGGTGGTCTACCTGAATCCCACTCTTGCTTTATACTAAGATAATGCACTGTACCTTCCTCTCTGCTCAAATTTTCTAGGCCACCAAGAATACCATTACAACTGAAAGGTGAGTACCAGTCATCTAAAGCACTTCACTTATTCTGGGAAGGGCATTATGACTGACTGCTGTCTTTGACCAACTCTAGACTTGCTCTGTAAACTCAGTTGCTAGCCCTTGTTTCTCCTGGTAATAAACAAGGGTGAGTAAATCCAGATTCAGTTTACTACAAGGAGTTTTGTTTTAAAAGTATGCTAAGTCCATGTTATAAAGATATTGAATTTATTATTGATGTTGTAGAAATATGATCAAATATGATCATTCAAGGCTACTGTTCACTAAGGAAAAGGACAGTTACCTCACAAATTGACTTATGGATACTAGAAATTTTCTTTACTGCCAATCTTAATTTTTTTCTTGTGGGAACCATACCTTTGTCTACACACATGTGAATGTCATTAAAAAGTATAATATAGCATCTCACTCTGTGCCAAGAGAGAAAAGGGAAATGTATGAAGAAGGGAAATGTCTGAGAAAACAGACAGTGATGGTGGTTGAGGACACCAGCCCTGAATCAGTTTTTCATAGGATGATATGTCCCATGACAATGAAGAAAGCCCCAAACTGTCGAGTGCATGCCCTTCAACTCAGGGGCACACAGCAGCAGAAGCATGGCTGTGCTGACAAAGGATAGGAGCCTAAAATAATGTGACCACTTCCAATCAAGGAACCATTCCCTTATAAAATATCATAACATCCCTTATAAAATATCATCACATCTTTCTAAAAGACAAAACCGAAGAGGTGGGTGCAAGGGAATAAATACTGTTGAAGGGCCAATGTAAAGCCCTGACAAAAGCCACTTTGATTTCAGTTGCTTCCCTCTGCTCTTTTTTTTGGGGGGGGGATCCTCTTATTTGAGAGATAAAACACACTGCTGGAAGCTAAGGAGGCTGGTGTTTGAAACGATTCCTAGCAACAGGATCTAACACCATAATGAAACTTTTCAGGGGTGACGGAACTTTCTGCCCTGACAAGAGGAAGACCTTCTGCCTGAGTCAAGAGGACAGAGAAGGACATGGAGTACCAGTCCCAGGTGCTAGCCTTTGATGGGCAAAACTAATCCCTTTCTCATGCAACTAAAGCTAAAGGCTTTAATACCATTAGGGCCTTGGCTATACCACATACTAAGTAATATTAATAGCACAGGATTTTTCGTCAGCTCTCCTTATTCTTGCTAAGCAGCTAAGCCCCACAATACCACAGGGACACAGGAAGAGCCATATGTCTCATTTTATATCTAGGAAAACCTAGGCCCATGAAGCACAATCAGCTCCACCAGTGATGTGGTGAAAAGGGATAGCAAAGAAGAGTCACATCAAGAACAGAGATTAAGTTAGTTTTGCCTTGCATTTTAGTTCCAGAACTCTTCCCAGGAAGTGGATAGGTATGAATATCCTCATCCTTCCTTCTCTAAATTGACTCATTCTTTAATATTCTTATATTCCCTTCTTTTAAGTGACAAGGTAAGTGAGGGTCCAGAGAGCTGGGTACCTTGGGGAGGGGAATAGTCATCTGAGTCTGTGTCACTCTCGCTGCTGTCTTCCACCAGGAAGATAGGATAGTTCCAGGACATGCTGAGGATTCCGTCGAACTGGTGCAGGAGGACATGGGCCAGCATCCTGCCGTGGCAGTCCATGACAATCACCTGCCCGTCAGCCGTGCCAAACAGCACCTGCAACCGAGGACCAGGACCCTTGACTGAGTGAGAGGAAGTGCTATGGTTTCTGGCAAGCCTTGCTGCCTCAATTTGTTTTAGGAGGACAAATATATTTAGAACTAAAAAAACAAAAATAAAAAGACAGTTAAAAGTAACTGAGAGGTGACACAAAACATTAAGTAGAAGCTTAGCCATCAGTCCAAGAGCTTTAGACTTTTTAAACTTTTTTTCTGAGACAGAGTCTCATTGTGTATTTTAGGTTGGTTCTGAGTTCACTATGTAGCCCAGGCTGGCCTCAAACTCATGGCGATTCTCCTGCCTCAGCTTCCCAAGTGCTGGGATTACAGGTATGTGCCACCACACCCAGTGTAGACTTCTAATACTGGTATGCAACTGACAACATAATGAATATATTATGTTGCATGGACACTTCCAAATTGTACCTGCAAAATCTGCTTCATTTTTGTATTTTTTAAGTTTTTTGGTTGAAGACAGATTAAAAAAAGACAACATCATTTTACTTTTCTGAAAAACAACAGCAGAGATTTGTTGCTGTGATTTTCCTAAATCTAGAAGAAAATGTTTATATTTGACTAAAGAGAAAATATATTTGGTAATGTAAGCATGTTATCCAACCATATTTAGAAAATAAGATGCTCCTGAAGTAGTTTTATTTCTAATGTATACTGAAAGTGCTAATTAATGAGTTTAAAATTATATTGTAATGATGTATGAATGGGATTATACATTCACTGAATGCTTACTTTGTGCTAACGTATGATGCTAAAAGCTTTATCTCATTAACTACCAAAATAACGGGTATTAGTATTACAGGAACGAACCTCTGATGGGTCTGATGTCTGACTGTGCTAAGGGCCAATCATGGGAACTTCTTTGCATTACCTGACTTTAAGGCACAGGCATGTGCTGGGGTGGTGCAGGCAGGGACACAAACAGAACTAGAGAAGCTTCAAGGCAGAAGACTGCATGGGTCAGTCCTCTATCAAGGGAGAGCATGGGACACCTCACAGCTGCTGGACACATCATTTAATGTGAGTGTGTTACCAGCTGGATGTTCAGAAAGGAACTTGGGAACCAAAGAAACAGGACCTGCACTGTCTTCTTTGTATGATAGTTCCTTAAGTTTCTTCATCTAAATTAAGAATTCTGTATTTATGTGTCTAATGGGATTTGTCTATCCATCAACATCTTGTAGCAACCATACAAATAATTTTCTCTATTTCATAGACACCAACAGTTTAGAAGGAGTCCAGTGAACTAACAAAGCCCTGAAGCGGTCAAGCCAGGGCTGTCTGACTACAATGGCTACAATTCACATACAAGACACTTGTCTATAGGTTTTTATCTTTGTTTCTTTTTGCCCTTCAGATTTTGACGTTAAGCTCCTTAAGGGTCAACTGCATAGGTGAATTCCTGGAACCTGACAGAACTTCTGAGTATACACAGGTACTCACTAAATATGTGCAAAATGAATGAATTTAAATAAATGATAAAAGGCAATTTTAGAACACAAATACTGAATGGCTGAGAGATTAATTGCAAAACAAGACGTATTTCACTTAAGTTGTAAAAAGCTCATGGAATTTACAGAGCTATTTTAGAATAAATCACTCACCAAATATTTCTTTATATATGATCTATATTTTAGTGAATGAACAATTTAAAAAGGTTAAAGCAGTGGGGCATGGTGGTGCACATCTATAATCCTAGCACTCTAAAAGGCTGAAGCAAAATGATAGTAAGTTCAAATTTAGCTTGGCAACTTAGGGAGATCCTGTCTCAAAAACAAACCAACCAACCCTCCCCCTAAAAGCCCCCAAACAAAAGATCTGGGGATGTAGCTCAGTGCAAAAGCCTTGGGTTCAGTCCCTGGGACCAATAAATTAATTAAATTAAATTAAACTAACACCAGAGGCAGTGATGAATTTATTAACATATGCTACTTAAAGGAAAAACAGACAAAGCTACTTAGGAACACAGTGAAATTCATTTGAGAAAAAGTTGTAATTTTGGCTGTCAACAGAAAAAAATAATTGTATGATAGCAAAGCTACAAAGCTCTCATACAACACAGGCAAAAGGATAGGGATCTAGAAGTGTGGCTCAGACCTTTGAATTCAGTCCTTGAAGAGGCAGATGTTTATCATGCTTGGTGAACAGTTATAAGCAGTGAATATGTCTTATAATTTTAACTGAGACGCACAATTTACACACTTTAAAGAAAAAGAGGTGTGGGAATTCCAGTGAGATATTAATGCTGTGAGTGATGTACATGGAGCAGGCTTTTCTTCTCCCCCTTTCATATTCTTCCTTCATGTTCTCTGAAAGTAGCTAAGTATCTTCCTGCCAGGTGAAGGGGTCAGGAAGTTTTCCCTGTTGTGGGTTTTCTTATCACCCTAGAGTCTTCCCATCAGTACCTTTATTACTGTTCCCCTAACTTTATCATGTGATTTTAAAATTTCTGTCTCATTCTCATGTTAGCCTATAAGCTTTAGAGGACATAGACTGCTATGGACTGAATACTTACGTTACACCCTCACCCTGCCCCAAGCATATACTGGCTGTATTTGGAGGTGGGGCCTTTGGAAAATGATGAGGTTTCAAAGATATCATGAGGGAGGGGGCTCCATGATGATCACTGCCCTTGAAAGACAGACAAGAGACCTGAGCTTGCATGCTTTCTCTCTGTACAACCATGAGGAAAGGCCATGTGAGGATAAAACAAAAAGGAAGCCACTTGCAAGCAGGAAGGGAAACTTCACCAGGAACGGAATTGTTAGCACCCTGGTCTTGAGCTTTTCAGTCTCTAGAACTGTGAGAAACCATAGTCTGTTGTTTTAGACCAATCCTTGGTATTTTGCTACAGTAGCCACACTGAGATGAGAACCATGTGAGCTTTGAACACATTATCTTTATCATGTGTGAAATCTAGCAAAGTGTGATGGGAGGAAGGACATGCTTCTGCATCGAGTAATATGTATTTCCATTTTGGAGAACAAACGGAGACCAGACTGTAGAACAGACATATAATCCCTGAATAGAAGACTGGCAATTTAATAAATTCTCAACGTTCAGCATCACACTAAATCAAAGTAGGACAAAAAAACCAGTCCCTAAGTCCCCGACTCGGAATCTATACCAACTACAGGTTCCACGGGAACACAATCCACTATTAAGACAGGAGAAAAGCAGCACTCATAGTCTACTTGTCAGCTATGACAGAGGAAGCTACTCTGTGTTAGAACAAATATGTCACAGATAGTGAAAGAACACTGATACAACATAAAATCAGAGTTTTAAAACTCTCCATTACAAATTCATGCCTAACTACTTCCAATGAGATAAAGTTTACACAAACGAAGGACTTTAGGACATCCAGACAGAAAGTCTCATGATAATGAATATACACATGGCAAAGGCATTGATTTCTGCTACTTCCACTCCTTAATCCTGGTTGAGTATCAAGTGTGCTCAAGACAGGTTGGTTCCAGTGGTTCCTTTCCAGGTATGCCTTCCTTTCCAGGCTTCTCACTGTCTTGCTACTCAGGGTTAGACCTTCTTCTTGGAGACCACGTTTATGTGCCATTCTCATAGACCCCATTCACAGATAAGCCCCTTGCAAGCATCTCCCTGTGCCCCAGACTCACCAAATCCAACTGCCTACTTGCCATCTGTCCTGGAATATGCCCAAAGCCTGTCCAAGTCAACATGAAACCCAGCAAAGACTGGCTTGTATTTTATTCCAATGTCCAGCATACTCTGTATATATAACAGGTGCTGTGAGATCTCATGTGAGGGTTTTGGGAATTGAGCACACAGAATCAGTCACTCTCTAACCATGGTCCCTGATACATTCTGAGCTTGGCTCTGGTTTTGCATGTCTGCCTCCCCGTAAACTAAGCTTCTTGAGGGCAGGTGCCTGAGTTTTCTTACAAAGGATAGTAACTCTTGTCTTTTTTGGCTTTTGCTCCTGCCATCTCTGGTACCACAGAATGGACCCAGGTCTTTCTGTAATAAGCTACATCCTCAGCTTTTTAAAATTTATCTTAAGACAGGTTCTTGCTAAATCCCTGAATTGTCTAGGAAGGACACAAACTTGAGATCCTCCTGCCTCAGTCTCCCAGAGTGTTAGGACCATAGGTGTGCACTTCCACACCTGGTTTTCTTTCTTCTTTAAACCAGAAACCCATGCTCAAATCCTATAAAACTGGCTGCCAATCACTGTCAATGATAGCTTATATAAATTTCTGTCATATGCTTTCCTGTTTCCTTTGGTGGCTTGTAAGCTTCAAGTAAGGGAAGGTACAATGTTTCTTCTGTGATATACAGACATGTGGGTCAGACCATACCAGTTCAGTAGCTACCTCTGTATTTAATTGCCTTTCCAGCCTTAAATATACTCTGCAAGTTTTAAAAGCAACACAATTATGATATCCACATATAATTTCTTCATTTCAATATAATACATCTAAAGCTGTTTTAGATTCAATTATTTTTCAATAAACACAATTATTATCAATTATTATCTGTTTAAAATGAACAAAGCCACAAACATAAAGGGGCATGAAGAGAGGATCTTAAAACATTCCAAAGATTTTGCTCTGGAAGCAGTGACATCAGTACCTTTATCTCTGGACATGAGACTCATCTAAATTCCTAAACGAAACCATACTGAGAAATTTCAACTTCAAAAACACACACTCCTGTAAACATTCACCTTTTTTATCGTGAAGTGTAACTACTAGCACTGTAACTGGCTCCTGAATGGGGCAGCTTTTTCCTGTTTGCTTTTCTGATTTTTTGTTTTGTTTTGTTTTGTTTTGTTTTGTTTTGTTTTTTTGAGGCAAGGTCTCCCTATATAGTTCAGGCTGGCCCTGAACTCACAAGGTAGCTCAGGTTGGCCTTGAATTCCAGGTGATCCTCCTGCCTCAGCCTCTCCAAGTGCTGGGATTACAGGCATGTGCCACCAAGTCCAGCTGCTTTTCTGATTGAAAG